GTTTGGAAACAGAAAATAGTCTCAGGGGGCTAAATCTGGAGAATATGCTGGATGGGGTAGCAATTCGTATCCCAATTCGTGGATTTGGGATCGTAATGCTTAATCAGCACACGAAATTCACTTTTTCTCATCTCGCTCACCACACAATTCACTAGCTCTGCTTTGAACGACAGACAACACCAACTGAACGACGTAGCTTGCTCAAAATTAGAAAGTTGCCCACTGGTAGACTACAAAAAAAGTTGTTGACTTATCAAACCGCCCTCGTAGTATATATATATTCTTCTTTAAAAATTACTGTTTTTTATCTTTTGTATTTGTTGTTGCCATACATATGTCGGTAAATAGGTGTTCTTGATTTTCATCTATTACTACTATAAATAGATGTGCTATGCCATATATTATAAAAACAGTTGACCATATTTCTCTTGGATCTCATAGCTATTTCTAATACTCTTTCTATAGTTATTAATACTGATGAGTTTTATTACTAAACCGTTTGCTGGTTTTAATTACTTAAAACTTTTTCTTGAATTTCAATAGAACAAAATATTAAAATTTATCCGGTGCTACATTTCTTATATTCATTAATAACAGTATTCTGTTTATGCAGCATTGACAGACATTAAAAAAGCCTCTGATAGTCTGAACAGACGTTTCATATGGACTGTTTTACGTCAAAGGAGCATCTCACCAACAATCCTTAACATCATTAAGTCTATGAGCATTGAGTTGAAATGCAAAGTTTTCCGCGGCGGAGTGCTTTCTGACTCGTTTGACATGAGTATAGGAGGCTGTCTGCTTTCACTGATGCTTTCCATTCTAGCTCTGGACGGAATTTTAAGAAATTCGATCGATGTACGCCATGGCATATAATGCACACTATTTCTCCATCTGGAAGATTTTGAATATGCGGACGATGAAGCCACAGAAAGAGTGATCTCCAACATCACGTAGACGCCTAAATCGTAACGCTCAGGTAGCAGGCTTTGAAATGAATATATCGAAAAAATATCCAGTGGATTCTGCACATATTTGGGCAGCGTAATTACTAACGTTAGTGGAGCTGAAGAAGACGTAGCGCCTCGTATAAATAAGGGAAAGTCTGCATTTGGCGAATTACAAAACATATGGTTGAACCAACTAAGCGTCAAAACAAAACTCTGAATACTTAAATCAAATATCGTATTTGTACTTCTGAATGGGTGCGAAACATGGAAGTTTACTAGATCAATCAATTTGTGAATACAAGTTTTCATAAACAAATGTCTAAGACGCATCTTCAAAATATGATGGCAAGAATACATTTCTAACATGGAATAGTGGAAAAAGAAGAAAATGCAAAGTGTCGAAAATGAAATTAAAAAACGAAAATGGCAATGGATTGGACATACAAGCAAGCCGAGTTCGTGTTAAGTAAGCCCTAAATTGAAACTCGCAAGCCAGTCGCTGGCTTGGTGCTCCTTCAAGAACATTGCGAAGGACAATTAATGCCAAACTAACATTAGTCCGCTACCATCGAACGAATATCTGCTAGCAGTTCAAATTAAGACATGGGTTCAGAGGCAATTGGGGAGGCACTTCTGCTCTACTCGGAGTTAATGGAACTAAAGAAGATCCTATTCATTTAATTTCAAAAAATTTAAAGTTCACGTTCATGGGCTTTTGTCCAAGAAAACCTATTAGCAAACGGACGACTTCTGCCTTCATGAATCGGGTAATCGCAATATTGAACAATATATTGAAAAATTGTCATGCTTACTGGCGGGTCAGTCTTTATCTTCTAAATTCTAATTTTTCCCGTTTAAACTAGTGAATGTGAAACAAATACATCGGAAAAATACGTGGCGGGTGAGCGGTTTTTTCTTCGACAAATGTGGTGTTTCCTTATTCCTCATCTCAATACAATAAATACAATTAATCTGATGTGAATTTGCCTTTTTAAATAGTCCATGAAAATTACTTCCACTTGAATCCGTAATACGGAAAGCCATTACACAGTTTTGGCAATTGTGAGAACGTCGTTTAACAAATTGTAGTAGACCATACAATATATAAAATTTTTCTGGCGGTTGCCACTGCTGTGTGTCGGTTTCCCCAGTGTTATGCGTTCTTAAGACATACTTTTGTTTTGCGTTTGACGGAAGAATTGTATTTTCTTTGTTCTAGGGTCTTTAATCCAACAGTAGTGAAATTGCAACAACAAAATTTTTTTATTACATCCATCGTTTCAATATTATGTTTCGATACTGCCAGACTGCAATCATAAAGTTATTCACTTTTTCACATATAAGCCATTTTACTGAGAATGCACAAAGCACTTTTAAGTCGTTCATAAAAAATTGACAAAGAATTTAAAAAGCCATAAATTACCGAAAAATGGTTTGTAATATTTCCTTGTCTTTTTTATGTCTTCTAAAAATAAGGCCCATAAAATATGCTTTGATAATAAAAATGCGCTGTAAATTAGAGACCAATTATGTTGTGAGGAGATACGTGGATGCATGGAGAATGCATGGGCATACCCACATCTTTATGTTTCATTTCAAAATATGTGGCAAACATAAAACTTCCGCCGTAAACAAATTTTGTTTATCATATGAGAGAATATATTTTATAAAAAAAAATAGAACAAAAAAAAAAGAAACATATTTTTATTTTATATATAATATGTAATACCAATATGACATGGGTTTTTTTTTTTATGTAAAACTTAAGCTTTTAATCAATTCATTTCTTACGCACCTGAAAGAACAAGCAAAAACACACCCATTGGTAGTATTTGTTGTGTTTTTTTTCATAACCATATTCGGAGTTACCCAAACCGGGATATGGTACCGATATACCTTGTTTTTTGGTGAAGGTATTACGTAGTGTGTATGTGGAGTGTATCCAGCAGTAAGTGTTGAGCACGTCCTCCGGTATGTCTTTGGTGTGTATGCAATCGATGGGATTGCCGACATATTGTCGCGTTGTTAATATTAATGAGAACGACATCAATATCATCACAGTTATGGAATAATGCAAGCGGAATACTGGCGAATCGATTTTGAGATGACTGAACCTGATTAGGTTTCGCAGGCCACGAAAAATATCTAACATTTTTTTTCCCCAAACGAATTTTGTTACACAAGAGCGAGCGTGTGCCGCTGTTCAATTTGTTTTATTTAAAACTTAATTTGACCTAATTTTTATTTTATTTCAATATTTTTATTTAAACGTTTTCATTTTGGAAATGTTTGATTAAACATTTTCCATTTTCCATCGCTTCTGCTCCATTGTTTTGTTTTGTTTACAGTCGATTTCCCAGTGATCGTGCGAATGCCGCTGAGCACTTTTGCGGTAGCTATCTTTCGAGTTCTATTCAATCCGAACCCATTCACAGAAATTAACATGATACACTCTATATGGTTCCAATTCTCCAAGTAGATTTTCAAGAAATAATTTATATGTTCGTACATTTTTCTTTAAATTTAATTTTTAGCATAATTTCACTATACATTATATTCGGCATTATTTTCTACTTTATTTTGTTTATAAGATATGAATTTTTTTTTTTGTTATTTAATTGTATAAAACTACCGAACTATTTCAATGTGGAAGCATCAATTTAATAGCTCGTGGCATTATTAAGCAATTTCAGTACAGATTTTTATTACTGAAACATTGAACTTATTTTTTATTTATTTTAAACAATTTTCTCAAAATCAATCACACGTGTTGGTTCCGAAATTTATTGAAATTTTTTGCATTCGCATTCAGCCTGGACATGAAAACACTGTCAGTCTATTTACATGAATTTTTTTAAATATTCTCATATAAATTTATGCATAAAATCAAAATAAGTGTTTATTTTATCGAATTTAGTTCCAGTCGACTTTTCCACATGAAGTAGCGAAATTTATGTGTTGAGCAGCAAAAAAAATCAGTTTTTTATATTCATTTTATAGTTTTTCGATCGCCGAAGC